CACCTTACCATTTCAATCACTTTTACACTTTCAAATCGAAATCTTGTATTTACATTTCTTTTCTCCACTACCAACATCCGACGCCCTTTCTATATACATTTCATACAAAAGATATTACAAAGAAGCGGAACCCGAAGGGCCCGCACCGGAACCCGAACTCTCCCCCCGCTCCTTCAACTCCTCTATATCCTCGTCCAGCCCCTTCAACAGCACCTCCCAAAGATCCTCCACCTCCTGATCCCTCTCATCCTTGAAAATCAGTCGGGCCTTCTTCCAGGCCTCCACCTCAGACTCCGAAAACAGCTCCGAAGGAGACGACATATCATCGGAACCGTAGTCATCTTGAAGACCTGCCACAGTACCACGAACATCCACCACCTCGTCCGCCAACTCATCCATGCGACGCATCAACTTGCGTATCAATTTTGAAAGTTGGTGGAGACCGGCGGAGACCTTCACACTGCTGATCACCTCACTCACGGTGACGCCCTTGTTGAACGAACAGGCGGTTTTCTTGACCTTGCAGCGAGAGCAAGTCCACTCTCAACCAGCGCCTTCGGTTACCAGTCATGCATAACACCGTGCGCCATCTTGACGACAACGCACACAACTCCCTGAAAACAAAAGCTAAGTTAAGCCATGGAAGAAAACCAAGACACTTACTTTCACCATCCAACAATTCTTCGCCCTCCGCCGGCCCCGCCACTTCCAACTTCACCCGCTTTTTGGGGCTAATGATCGCCTCTGTCTCACTGTCATCCACTACGCCCCTCGACCTGAACTTGCGTTTACGTCCCTTCTCTGCCGGAACCGCTGCCCTTCTCTTCCCCTCCCGCACCCTCTTCCTCCTCTCCAGGGTCCCCTCGGATTCCTCGGACTCATCGTCCCCCTCAGTCCCCTTTGTCTGCTCATCATCGGACTCCGGAGGCATATGGCGAGTCACCTTCTTGAAGCGAAGACCAGGGCCAGGACCATACCGTTCCACCAAAACTTGATGCAGCTGAAAATCAGTGGCCTCCGTGGGGGTCATCAGCAACCCATCCTCCATAACTATCCCCTCTGGCTCTACCTCCTCAGCCTCAGCCCTCGCCGCCACCTCCGCGGCCTCCCTCTCCTCAGCCACCCTCTGAGCCACCTCCCTCAATGCCTCCTCTGCCTCCTTAGCCCACCTCTCTGTGGCTTGCCGAACCTCCTCCCTCTTCCTCTCCAATTCCTCCTTCTGCTCCTTTTTCCATGCCTCCTGGGCCACATGGTCCGCCTGGACCCTTTCCTCCCGCTCTTGCTCCCTTTGCCATTCCAAATGACTCTCCACAGCCTCCGTGTATTCTTCCTCCATGGCCTCCCATTCTAGACGAAACAATTCCTTGGCCTCTTCAGGGCCATCGGGGGTGGATCCCCTCACCAGAGGCTCAGGAGTGCGTGAGCGACGACATAGGTGATGATGGTGGTTTCAGATCAAGATACAAAACTCCCATGGCCACCAACAATCCTCCATGTGGCCCCACCGGCCATCAGGATCAGCGCTCTTGAGAGCAAGAATGCTAAGGGGGGGATACTGTTACGCGCATGCCGCCGGCCTCCATGTCACCTCAACCAACCACGAATTCTATCACACTACCCACCAGACTCCGGCCGCTTCCCATTACCTACTAATTTCATTTCACCATTATCATTTCACATCTGTATTTCACATTGTAATACCTAGACCCTGAACTCGGTAGCGAATATTCACATCGGAACCCAATGGAACCCGACTCGGAATTAGCTACCATTAGTATATAAAGCCGTGTATATCACCGTAACTACTCAGTTCGAATATCAACTTGGATAAGCCATCTACACTTCACACTCACTCCTCCCTATCTCATCCGTCGGATTCCGCTCCGAAGGATACTCCTGTTCACTTCTCTGACAGAACTCCATTCTGTCCATCCAGATCCTTAGGCTCCGACTCAAGGGTGACGTTGCCAATAGCTTCGTCAACGCCCACACACTCCGCCGGACTCTGCGCGTGCACTCAAGCCCACTCGATTGGCACGTTCCTAACATATTCCGATTTCGTTCATAAAGATCAAACATGGTACATAGCTCTGGTGCACCTTTTGGCCTATGAGGCTTATATATGCACAGCATTGGAACAGTATTACAGGCTGTGGTTATCTTCCAACATTCTGTTGCAAGATAATCCTTCTTTTTCTGCACCCACTGCTGGCGCAATGCTTCAGGACATCTAGATGAATGCCAGGTATAGACCTGGTTTTCATTTATAATTAGAATCTCATGGTTGATTGCTCGAAACGGAGGTAACGGTGTCTTAGCAGCATCAACAAACAATGGTGCTGCATACTCAAACAAGTGCTCTCGGACATGTCCTAGTTGCTCCTCTGCTATATCAACAGCCCGAGCGTCAATTTGAGCAACATTCTCACCACGGATAGGTAGGCTCGTCTCACTTCCAATTATGATATGTTCCTCATTCAAACCAAAGGATACCTTGTGCTGGAACAGAAATGGTGTTCCAAGAATCACATTATAATTTGATAGGTTTACAATATCAAAGTATCGATGTTCCTTAATATTCTGGTACTTGAAATCAGATTGTGTACCATAATTAACCTTTGAGCATGAGCCCTGAACAGCAAAATGCAACTCAATAGGCTTTGCAAGCTCAGTTCACTTCAACTTCAGCTGATCTGCTAGCATTGTGGAGATAAAATCATCCAAAGACCCAGAGTCAAGAAGAGCACGGCTCTTGTGACCATTAATAAGGACCTCTATCACCATGGGCATGGGGACCAGGCGATTAAAATCTCTAGTTGAGCTTGCATTACATTGTAAGCCAGTCAACAAAGTAGGTTCAATACCCACATGACCAGAGAATAAACCTTTAGTGCAAGGAGGCTTAATAGCATCCCAAGCTTGTGGCCAGTTGTCAAAGACATGAGAGAGACCATCCCAGTGGGCCTTCCATATAGACCAGGAGTTACTCCTTTGATCCTTCTTTTGAATCTGACAGAGGTACCAATTAAAAAGCTGGAACTTCAGATATGCTAATAGGCGCTTCGGTAGTTGAACCTTGTGCCCATGATGTGTATCATGAATCATTGCAAAGTCTGAGTCAACACTCCAAACATGGAACTGATCATCAACACCAGAGATACATCCAGTTCCAAGGTGATCATTCAGCATCTCCTCAATCAAGTCACAATAATTGTCTGTTACTTGTGATCTAGAAGAGGACCATGGTATGGATAATTTCCAGGCACAATATTCCTTGTACCAGTGGACAATATCTCCCATTTCTGCAACAATTGAGGGTACCAGAACCTCTTCTTCATCCTGTGGCCATGAGTCAGAGGTATGAGATTCATCAATCAACACAAAGTGAGACAATGTGCGATAAACTGTAAAACGATCTGATGTCTTATCATCAGACCTTTCTACAGGATCCCCAGGATATGGTCCACAGGCATCTAAGCGCTTCTCACACCAATCCTCAAGGAAACGGCCAATAGGACATTCAACAATTCTCTGGGCAAACTTCAAGGTCCAAGTTTGTGACTTTGATACCTCACTTGGGAGCCCAAAAGGATCTCCATGCTGCAAGATAGAAGGATCTCGTGTTTGTACAGGATCCAGTAGATTAAAACCCACTCTATCAATAGACAGTGAGGTTTGATCCTTAGTCCTTGAAGCAGCACTAGTAGCCTGATTCACCTCTCTAAAGTTAAATCGGATGCTAGAGGAGGCAAGACCAGGAGGGCGGGAGCAACTCCCAGAAGCGACCATGCCATTTCGGGGACAATTGCGTTCTAAATGGCCCTTCTCATGACATTTAAAGCAGCGACCCTCAGCTATTAGCTCATTCTTTGTTGGCCCAGATGAGCTCTGTCCACTAGAGGATGGCTTCAGTGGCCTTGGCTGATTATTTGGCTGGCTGTTCTTGAATCATGGTGGTCCACCATGATTACTTGGCTCAAATCGGCATGGTTTCCTTGCTGGTTGACCACGAATAACATGAGCCTCATCTGTAGGAGTCATCCATATGGGCTGAGGTGAATAATCCTGATGATTACAAGGAACATCATTATACTTGTTCTCTTTGGTAGTCCAATTGGTATGGTGAGAGTCTGCTCTATGGTTATGCAGAACAGTGGCATGCATAGCTGAGTGCCTATGATTCAAGGTCACCTCAGCTAGCTCAGCCTCATGAGCGATGACAGCCCAAGAGTGAACTTCCTGGGAGAAACTCTTCCAAGACAGGATATCAGTGATGTCAAGGTTAAGGCCCTTCCACAGTTTAACAACCTTGGCACGGTCTGATTCATCACCCAGGACGTTGTACAGGTTTTCCAGTTCATGGGTGAACACCTTCACTCACTGTCCACCTTGACGGCAGTTCTCAATCTCCTTCCAAATCTTTTCATGGAAATCAATAGGAAAACAATAGTCAAACATCTCTCGGAAGAAGGTGCCTAATGTCCACTTCTCATAATTTCCACTGACAACTACATCATAGAAGTCACAGGCTGTACCATCAAGGAAACGAGATATATTGTACACATCTCGGACTGGATCATCATCAAGAACCTCAAGGTATGATTCACAATCTTGCATGAATCTATTAACCTTCTTGACATCCTCTGATCCTGAATAGACCTTGGGATCAATGGGCCTGCGTAAATGAACATCTTTCGATTTGCCTTTATGCTTACGATGTGAATGAGATTTACATTTGTGATGCTTCTTCTTCTTCTTTCCATTAGAAGTAGATGAGCTCTCATTGTCCGAAGAGGAACCACTATCAGACGAGGAGGATGATGAAGACCCAGATGGCGATGGCGATGGCACTGCCTGTCCCCTTCTTCTTTCACCATTGTTGCCTCAATGAAGAGTTCATCCCAGGAAACTATTGGGAGGCACCTGGCTTGAAGCACACCATGGTTCATTCATGGGGGTAGTCAATGATTGATGAGGCTGTTCAAAGTCAGCCGGTACACCCATTGGAGTGCTATGCACATTACCTGAGGTTGTGCTAGCTGATGGTGGTGTCACAGACTTAGATTTGCCCTTCTTATTACTTGTAGAGGCAATTCCCTGTGAACCAATTAAACTATGTTCAGGTGGAATAGGTCCAATCCACTCAGCATCTGCATACTTCTCTGGTATTGGGTCATCATAATCAATGATATCCTCAATCCTAACAGTACGACTGTGCTTAGGCTTTTCGTTATGTTTCTCTGGTTTGTAAGGGGTAGAGGTAGTGAAACTCTCCTCATTATCCTTATTAGATTTAGACCAAAGTTCAGAAGCCACAATGCCTTCGTATATTGCCCTTTGAACAGCAGGGTCCTCATTCTGAATGGACTGCCAGTGTTCCAAAACTCGACGCTGATTATCAGGGTCAAGTTCTTCTTCATTGAGGCCAGGTATACCATGACCATGAAATTCAACAGTCTTCCCCTTGGCAAAGGTCAATGGACCAGAGGGACCACTCTCTGGCTCATATTCAGGTTTATGTTTCACTGGCAGAACTCGGATGGGTATGAGGGAAGGTTGGTGACGATATTCCTCCATACGAGCCTTACGCTGTTCAAGAGTGGTGTGTTCAGATTCTTCAAGCTGGCATTCAGCTTCTTCAAATGCATGCAATTGCTCATCAGTCCAATCAGGTTCAGCAAATTCATCGTTATTGGCTTCATTGTATTCAGTACTAGCAATACTAGTTTCATCTACATGTAAGGTATGTCTACGCTCATGTTCAAGGCCATGCACTGTGTTCTGACCCTCAGATCGGTCGTCGGGCAGGCCATCTTCAGGATTGCCATCTGGCCATTCCCCTGGTATCGAGTCATAACTCATGTCATATGCTTGACCAGCTTGGCCATCACATTCAGCTGTATAGAGAGAGAACTCCACAGCATCTTTGTACTCCAATGAAGCAGAAGTATGTCCACCACTCCCATGAAGATGAGAGGGTATCGGCATAACCCTGGCATCGCTGGCAGCATGATGTCGTGGCAGGGCAGTGCAAATACTCAGGCTCATGGAGCGATCCTCAAGCATAGCCAGGTTTCTTCTGGAAGAGTCAGTATCCCTGGAGCTAGTCAAAGGGGACTCATCATGTTCAGTCTGCTGCACCTGAGCAGCGACATTAGGGGCTGGAGGCACTGGAGTCATCAAGGGACCCTGGCTACATAGCTGATAACGAGACATTAATGTCTAGTGGTTCAAGAGAGAAAAGAAGAAAGCAGAAGGTCGAGTGCAGAAAGAGGTAGTAAACAAAGCAGAGTCTGTAGGGTGATGGGGCAAAGCCAAGAGAGAACCAGGTGATCAGTCCAGTGCTTTCCTGGGGTTAGGCCCATCGATTCAGAAGTCGATTAAGCCAGGTTTCTTGTTCTGAGGTCAAAAATATGTGACATTAGCAATGATAGTCAGTAGCGGCACACAAGGATGAATCAAGGACTGGGTTGAAGACACCTCAATTCAGGGGGAAAAGGTAAGAAAGACTGGCATAATTCTAGGCATGACCAAGTATTTATACGTAAATAAGAGTGGAGTGCATAGATAAGCATAGTTCAAATAAAGTCCAGGTTTATGTTATGAAAAAGGAAGTAGAACGGGCCTGTCCATTACACAAGCACATCATCGTCTTCCTCCTCCTTGAGGAGGGAACCAGTGAGCAGATCATAAAAACTCTCCTCATCCCCTTGTGGTCATACTGTCTTTGTTAACCCACTGCTCTAGCTGGGTACTGGGCCCAGCAATGAGGCCTGTAAAGTTGGAGGCATTAAGATAGATGGTGGCAGGGCTACTTCTGATAGTTGAGTCATATCTGTTTTCCCCTGTTGCTTGCACTGCCTCCACTCACTTATGATAGAGGCAGACATTGCTTCAGTACCTGTCATTAAGGAGTCATCCAACCATCCAGCTGCTGAGGAAGCCTCAGAGTGCACAGGCAGAGATGTGGGCAGTATCAGGTACTCATAGTCCATAGTGCCTGAGGACAGACTCATCATCCTTGAAGGTGGTATCAGCACTAGGGGTATATCAGAGAGGGGGATACTGGGGGGTTAGAGAGTGCAAGAGAGCTCTTGAGACATCATCCCAAGCTGGAGGAGTGACATCATCATTTTCTTGGGCTCAGGCTTCATTGGCCATGAGGGCTTCTATGTTGACTCAGCACTCAGGGGCCTATGAGTTGGTTTCAGTTGTGCTGGGTTCTCTAAAAGTGGGTGTTGAGAGGGATCAGTCAGCTCATACTAGTGCAAGTACAGATGTGACCTTGGGATGTAATCCATACCAGTTCAAGATGTTGGCTCTTGCAATTCAAGCCCTCTCAACTTCTCTCTGTTGGTCTCGGTTCTGATGGTCATACTCAGCCACTTCTCTAGCTTCCTGGTTCTGGTGACCTCTCTCAATGAGGCACTCCTCAAGCTCACTGTAGACTGGTCACAGTGCATTTCACTGTCTTTGCTCTTCTTGTTGGAGAGCCTCATCATAGTTGAAAGAGATGTTAAGGTCCCAGGCTGGGAAGAGGCAGTGGATGACTGCATTCCAGTTTTCTCAGGCCTGTCACTTGTCATTGAGTCAGTCTGAGGGTGCCCACCCCATCCTAGTGCTGGTCTTTGTGAAGTGGGGGGCCAAGGCAGAGCTGTGAGATTGGCTTCTAGGGAGTGTAGTGTGGGGTCTCAAAGCCATCTGAGTGGCACTGAGGGAATCTCTGACAGTTAGCAATCCCATGAGTCAGAGAGGCAGTAGAAGAGTCAGGAGAGAGAGACTCTCTAAAGAAGTTCTCTGAGATGTTCTTATCTTCATGGTCAGGAATCGAGGGTGGGATCCAGGGGTTTCTGAATCCTGTGATGTGATGGTTGCTGTTTCTGCTGTCTGGTTGTCAGAGAGGGTATTGGTGTCCTTCTTCTTTTTGAACATTTCCTTAAAGTGAGTGGCTAGGCCCAGCTTCAGGTATGATGCTTGTCATGGGCTGGTGGAACATTCATCAGGATTCTGGGATGTCATGGAGAGGGAGGTCAGGAGTTACATTGTGTAGGATCTGTCAGATGTGTTAAAACTCATGATAATGTCTGATTGCCCAAGCAGTGATAGAATGGCATTTCTGGCACAGCTGGATGATCACCAATAAGGCTATCAATGTTCCAACAATAGAAGCAAGGAGTTCAAAGAACTTGTGGTTGAAGTTAGGATCTGGTGAGTTGATGGAGGGCATTCAGTTTCTCAGCACAATTGGGCTTGAGAAAGGGAAGCTAGAAGCTTTGAGCTAATTGTTAGATCCAAGCATCATGTGAGCTATAACACATGATGAGCAGAAGCTTCCTCACACTTCAGGAAGTTGACTGAGCTCACTGATATGCTATCAGCTTGGTGTGTCACAAGGCCTTAGGATTGGCTCAGAGATAGAATGGTATGTGAATAAACTTTAGCTCCAAGCTGGAGATTACCAGTGAGAGTGAGCATCCTTATATACTGTACAAGTCCTAGTTAATTATACTACTGCCTATTGTGTGTTGTCATATTCATTGTGCCTATTGTCCTTGGGCATTGCTACTGTACATAAAAGAATGATTGTGCATCATTGGACAATGCTGTTGCATCAAAAGACAATGACAGACTTGGTCTGTTGTGCTGAATAAGCCTTGTTCCACAGTCCTAAGCACTTGTGTTGGCACTCTGACTAAGCATAAATAGGGGTTAATCAAAGAATAAAGAAATCATGAAAATCATAACAGACTCTTAAACATTACACAGAATGCATCAACTGCCTACCATTCTCAAACAGATGGCCAGACAGAATGAGTGAATCAAGAAGTTGAAAAATACCTTTGACTTTTTATCAATTATCATCAAGATGATTGGACTAAATGGTTAGCACTCACAGCTTTCCAACACAATAATCAGATTCACTCAGCAACCAGCAAAACTCTGTTTTTCATCAATTACAGATGATATCCTGCTATCACCCAAAGTGGATGACTGCATATGATGACTCCTGCCTCCTCAGACTTTGCCACTATGATGGCAAAGATACATGAAGAAATGAAGACAGCCCTCAAAAAGGCTGCCACCATGATGAAAAGACAGTACAACAAACACTGCAGAGTGGCCTATGATTATTCAGTCAACAACAAGATTTGGCTGGACACTACAAATCTTCATCTCCCTCACCCTAAGCAGAAACTCACTGACAAGTGGACTGGCCCCTTCCCAATTCTTGCAAAAATCAGCAACTCCACCTACAAATTATGACTCTCATCCAACTGGAAGGTCTATAATGTCTTCAACAAGACCTTATTAACTTTATATGTTGCATCTGCATTCCCAAATCAAGAACAACCACCTCCTCTACCACCAGACTTGATCAATGATGAAGAACATTATAAAATTGATCAAATATTAAATCACAGACTATGAAAAGTCAAGGTGTATGGAGGAGAGATGACAATGGCCATTGAATACTTGGTCAGCTGGAAGGAGCATGGCCCAGAATCAAACCAATGGGTCAATGAGAGATGAATGAATGCAATGGATGCTATCCACAATTATGAACAGAGGATAAATTGATCATCTATCAGTCAATGTCTTCATGAATCTTACAAGAAGAAGGGCAGGTTATCTGCTCCTACACTAACCTACTTACCTCTAAATTAGCTATTGGGACAATGGTCTTAAGAAAGGGGTAATGTTACAATTTTTTTCTATTTTATTTCTTTTATTTGAGAGATTGACTTCTATCTTTGCTTAGTCAGAGTGCTTAGCCAGTGCTTAGAATCATGGGACTGGGGTTTAGTCAGCACAACATGCCCAGTCAGTCATTGTCCTTTGACATGACAGTAACCACTTGACAACAGACAATACCCTTTTGTAGGTAGCTTAATAACACTGGAAAAAATGCTCTATAATGCTAGGGTGCACAATTAGATAGTTATATCTTTAGATGGATAATGACTAATATATAAGTAGCATAGCTCTCACTGTAGTATCCCCAGCTTTGAGCTAAAGTTTCATCTTCACCATCTAATCTTGAGTGACTTGCAATGCCTTGACAACACAAAGCCAAATAACACATATAGTGAACTCTGACATCATTGCCCAAAGTGTGAGGCAGTGTCAGTTTATCACATGTTTAGGTCACATGGAATTTGGGCTTAACACTTCAGTGGCAGAATATTGTAAAATGTCCTGCCATTTGGTGTTATCTGCATAAATATACTTTCATCCTAAGTTTGATGCTAACTATTTAGCATCTTGCCACAAAAATGCCACTGCCTCTCAGTATAGGTCTGTATACTCCTTCTCCCTGTTTCATTATATTTCTTTTGTCAGCACTTCTTTACTAGTATCTTCTTCAGCATATTTTTATTTCCCCCACTTAAGAGAGATGTTCTGGGCCCTCTCCTTGCCCTTATCCATGCCTTTCTCTTCTTTCTTGCTGTCCTTAATGAGGTAGTCATCATGCAGATTATAGGTTGGAGGATCCTGAGATCAAATGATGGCTGGGAGGCTGGTCATCACTGTTGCTGGTGGTGCTGAAACTGAACTGAGCAGGAGACTGCTCAATGGGTCCTGCTCCAGTTTCAATATCACCTCTATAGCTGCCCTGCATTCTGTGTTCCTCTAGTTTTCAGTGATATCAGTGAAAGTTTCAATAGAACTAAGGATTGAGGAATAGGCCTGTGATCCTTCTGCCCAGGAATCTTCAGAGTCTGTGGTCAGAGATATGGGCATTGAGAGGGACTCAAAGCCCATAGGTGTTGAGTACAGAGTTGGTGTGAAGAGGAATGGTATCTGTGTTGGTGATGTTGATATTAGCTGTTCAGGCAAGGGGATAAGTGTGCCATCTGGCAGCTTTGCTGAGGGTGACAGCCTTAGCTAATCCTGCTCAGAGGTCAGTACTGATGAGAGTGCTGGGTTCTCTGAATAAGGAGCTAAGGGTGGTTTCTGTTTGTAGTCTATACCAGCTGAGGCTCAGAGAGCTCCAGGTGGCTGCTTCAAGCTTGTGCTGTCACTGCCTAAACTGGTGGTCATACTGCTCTTCATCATGTAAGTTCTGTCATCACACCTATTTGATCTTGGTCCAGTCAAGGTCAGCCTGTTCTCTGGCTGCACATATCTCTTCTTTAGTGAAGTCTCTTGTATAGTGGTCAATCTTGTCACTGACAGTTGGTGTTAGACCCAAGTAGCACATGACTATAAACACA